CCGCCGCCGCCCCCGCCTCCCGTGTCACCGCCCGGTCCCCATGGCGACGGGGCGCCCGCAGCCCCCCGGGTGTCCCCTCGCCGTGCCCATGGCAACGGGGCTCGGCCGGCCCGTGTCACCTCCCGGCCCCGCGCTGTCACCTCCCCCCATCCCCGCCGCGGCGGGTCCTGCCCGTCCCGTGGGACCGGCACGGGGCCGCCGTAAGCGGCTTAGCGGGGACACGGGGACGTCCCCGCCGCCCCGGCGAGCGCCGGGCCCTGCAGCGGCCCCCCCCGGCCGGGTCCGCATGGCCCCGGCGATGTCCCCGCCGCCCCGGGGGGCCCTGTCACACCGGGGGCGGGCGGGTCTCTATCGCCCCGGCAGGGTCCCTATCCCCCTGCGGGCATCCCCCGCCCTGACCCCGCGCCCTTGTCTCGTCCGCAGGCGCCGGAGCCGGTGCGGCCGCCGCGCTGCCCCTCGCCCCTGCGGCCGGCGGCCGGCGCCGAGCGCACCTCGGAGCGGGAGACGCAGACGGCTGAGCTGTCCCTGACCGTGGTGGCGGCCGTGCAGGCGGTGGAGCGCAAGGTGGATTCCCACTCCACCCGCCTGCTGGACCTGGAGGGTCGGACGGGGATGGCGGAGAAGAAGCTGATCGACTGCGAGAAGACGGCGGCGGAGCTGGGGAACCAGCTGGAGAGCAAGTGCGCGGCGCTGGGCACCCTCATCCAGGAGTACGGGCTGCTCCAGCGGCGCCTGGAGAACATGGAGAACCTGCTGAAGAACAGGAACTTCTGGATCCTGCGGCTGCCCCCGGGCAGGAAGGGGGAAGTCCCCAAGGTAACGGTGTCCTGGGTAGCGGGAGCCGGGCTCTGCACCCGAAATGCTCCCGGAGGGCAGGCCCGGGGTGGGTGAGCAGGGACAGCCCCGGCTCAGGTGAGTCTTTCACCATTGCAGCTTCCCAGCTCATCCCCTGCTGGGGCTAAAATACGGAGGGACAGAGGCCTGGGAGGACATCCTGGTACTCAGGCCAGAGGTTTCAGTTCTGCTCCACTGCGCTGCACAGCCCTGGGGCCGTTGTCTCTTTTTTTGTTCTTTTTTTTTTTTTTGCCACCATTTCTAGAAACACTGCAGATTTTGTGGTTCTCCCGTTTTGACCACCTTGAAGCTGCAGAGTCTCCCAGGCCAGGGAAGGAGCCAGTGGCAGCTGCTGCTGCAGGGAAGGGGGAAGCTTTGGGATTCAGGAAGGCAGATGAGCTCCCTGGGCATAGCTCTGGAAAGAGCCCACCATCAATATTCAGTTCCTACTTGAATTTCACAACCTTCCTGCTAAAAGAGTGTGCAAATGAAACCACGTAGGACATGGGAGGGGGAGTATCTTGGAGAGAGCAGAGAGGATCAGGAGAAGGTGTGTTCAGACCCTGACACCCCATTAGTGCAGTTGGGGGACAGATCTGGAGTGCTGTTCCCTCTGAAGAGCTCCACTGCAGCACGGCACATCCTGAATTTATCCTTAGGAATTATTCCTTGGCTGACAAGCTGGGAAGCTGCAGATGGTGGGCACACAGTAACCAGGGATAACGGGGAGCCCTGTGGGGCTGGGTAGAGTTTTCCCTGGAGTTCTGGGGTAATTGAATCCGGGAGTTACGTCAGCTCATCCATAGGGATGAGTCCAGCCCAGCTCCTGGGTTTTCTCTCCCTTATGGTCCCCCAAGCCTGATCACCTTGCAGAGAGCAGGGACTGAGAGGAGGAGCTCAGGGTCCTTAGGGGAAATCCCAGTCTGGATTCATCACCAGGAACCATCCATTTTGTTGAGTCCTTTGTTCCCAAAGAAATACCTGCCCAGGAGTTGTTTTAAATGTTAAAAGCATCTCGTTGATGGCCTCAGAGGAGCTGAAGCCTGGCTGTGTCCAGGCTCCTGCTTGAAGCTGCTGTTGGAATTGCAGGTGCCGGTGACCTTTGATGACGTGTCCGTCTATTTCAATGACAAGGAATGGGAGAAGCTGGAGGAGTGGCAGAAGGAGCTCTACAAGAATGTGATGAAGGGGAACTACGAGTCTCTGATCTCCCTGGGTAAATACGGGGTGTCCTCGCCCTTCTGAGGGACAGGAGGCTCCTTCTGCCTCCTCCTTGGAGATCCCCTTGGATGAGACCCAAACGTCCCATTTTAAAGGCTTGAAAACACAGGAGGATGTTTTCAGTCTGGGTTTATTCCAGCTCGTGCTGTGGTGGTGTTCTGGCTGGGAGAGGGATGCCCTGTGGGCAGGTGGGCTGGAAACCACCCAAACCTCTTCCAGCCACAGTTATGCCATCAAAAACCAGCTCCTTCCTTCCCCATGGCTCTTGGGAGGGCTTCCCTGCATCCTCTGGGTCTGCAGTGGGTACCAGCCCGTGCACCCCTTCAGAGGATTTTGCACCTGTGGATGTTCCCGAGTGTCCTCACGTGTCCCCTGCGTGCTGGGAAGAGGCGGAAGCCAATTTCAGATTCCCAGTGCAGTAATCCCTCTCTCCCACCCCTCTGTCTCTCAACAGACTATGCAATTTCCAAACCTGGTGTTTTGTCTCAGATCGAGCAAGGGGAGGAATCGCGGGGCAGGAATGAGCAGGACCTGGAGGAGAGTGAGATCATTACTGATGCCACGGCAGGTGAGGCGGCACCTGGGCACCAGGGCAGCTCTGGGTTGTGTTCCCAAGCTGCTCATCCCAAGGCTGGAGCAGATGTTGCTGGGAGCTGTGGCTGATGCGGTTTATCAGGAGAAGCCTTGCCTAGGAATGGGATAAATTGGGCTGATGGGAGGTTTGATGTCCAGGTACAGCTCAACATAGAAACCAGGACAAGCAGAGCCTGGAGAGTTGGGCACTGGGAGCCCTTCCCAGCAAGGGAAGCATCTGCAACCAGACCAGGTCCTCAGGGAGCCAGTGTGCCCAGCAAGGAAGGGGAATCGGCTCCCATTGGGAGAGCCCATCCACCCAGAAAATCCTCCACCCTCTCTTTGCATGGATTATGGCTGGGTTTATCCTTGGAGCATCCTCCTGGGCAGGGAAGCCTGGTCCCAGGCTGTGTGCAGGGAGATGGGATGGTGAGGGCCAAGACTGGGCTGGGAATGGGGCACCAGTGACCCCAAGTCCCAGAGCGAGTCCTGCTCTGCGATAAGGGGGCTGATAAGGAGATAAGGAGGTGGCCTGGAAGAGATGGTGTTATCTGCACTCATCATCCCTGATTCCAGGCTGTGGATGGGGGGTCACACCAACACCCTGCTTGTGCTCTCCATCACAAGGATCTTGAAATTTGAGGCCAGTGGAAAGGGGAAAATCACGGGCTCACGTGGAGCTGCAGCTGGGGGATGTGGGGTGGCCGAGGGGTGCTGAGCTGTGGCACCATGACCCCAGGCTGGGTGGAGTGACTTCCCTGTGCCTGTGAAGGGTCCTGGGCTGGAGCTGGGAGCGTGGCAGGGATGGGTGAAGGGCAGGGGCTGAAGGGAGAGCAGAAGAGGCTCAGCAGATGAAGCCCTCAGCGGGATCAGCCGCTGGAGCCGGCGGGGATTGCTGGGAGCAGGTCCCTGATGCTGGCTCCTGGGAGTGATGGCAGGTGGCAATCTCTCCTTGCTGCAGCTGGAATAAGAGTGGTGATCAAAACAGAGGAGCTCCTTCCTGAAGACAGCCCCGAGAACCCCGAGCTGCACGGGATGTCGGGGCAGTCCGAGGGCAGCTTCCAGAGCCCGGACGAGGAGGCGGCCTGCGAGAGCCCCTACGGCTCCGTGTCCCCCCCGAGGGACCTCCCGGGCACCAGCCTGGGCGACTCCTCCGAGTACGGAGCCGACTTCAGCGAGATCCAGAGGGTCATCGTTCACCACGGGGGCTGCACAGGTGGGACACGCAGGACATGGCTCTGCACACGTGGTGTGTCAGGGACAGGAGGCCCGGGGGGCTGTGGTGGGTTAGGAAGAGGTGGGGAAGGGGTTGGATGGATATGAGGAGTTAAATTCCTCCAGAACCAGCACCAGAAGGAAGGTTTCTGGCTGCAGCGACTTCTAAGAATGACTCTGGTCACACCTTGAGCTTGGAGGAGGAGGCAGCATGTTCATGATGGACACAGAATGTGGTCTCTGAGGGCTCCTGTCCTGCTCAGGAGCAGAGCAAGCACTGGCTCAGTCCTCTGAGTCTGGGAAAAGCCCTGGTTGCCCACAGAGACCGAGGGAGGATGTGTCTCAGGCAGCGTTCTGTGAGAGCCCCAGTGAGCCCTGCTCCCAAAACCCCGCTGTGGCAGAGGGCAGGAGGTTGGTGTGAGGTGTGGAGGAGTGGATGGTTGCACACCGGACACTGCTGGAGGAATGTGGGAGGTCCTGCAGGTTGCCACATGTGGGAGTTGCTCAGGGCAGCTCCACAAGATAGGGAAGAATGTGGCTGGAGCTCTGTGATTTGCGAGCTGCCAGGAGGGAAGAGGAAGGATGAGGTGATTTGTGGAGAGGTGAGATGGTGGCACTGAGTGTTTCATGTGTAGAATTCTGCTGGTGGAGTGGCAGATACAGGCCAAGTCCTACAGATGTGCTGTAAGGCTGGGGATGGGAGGTTGGGAATGGTGGGTTCCTTCCTCCTGATGGCTTTGTGGTGGTGTAACACAAACCAGCTCACAGAGAGTTGGGCTCTTGAGGGCCTCAACTCCGTCTTGTGGGTCCTGTGGTCTGCTCAAGGCTTTGCGAGGGAAACCAGCCAAGCCACCAGGGGCTGAAGCTGATCCGTGTCTGAGAGCCACTGCCTCTGGCAGGGCACGGCCCAGCTGGTGGGGCTGGGCAGGAGCTGCAGCCATGCAGCCATGCTGGCTGGGATGGGGGCTGAGCCCCCAGGCCCATGGAGGGGGCAGGGAGAAGGACCTGGGTTTTCCCTTCCTCAGAGGGAAGAGGCCCATGGCTTTGAGACATCCACTCCCATCGGTTTCCTTTTCTTGGGGAAGTGTAGCTGCTCTTCCTGGGAGAGCATTTAGGCCTGGCTCACAGTCCAGTGTGGGGTGACATGAGGGATGCCCTGTGGGCCTTTTCTTGGGCTGTGCTGGCTGTGTTTCCTGCCGTGTGTCCCTGGGATGGCTGCTCTCACCAAACAAAGTCCCCGGCTCGCTTCCGGCCTTGGTGACACGAAGGGGAGCCTGGCCTGCTGCCATCCATCCCACTCTTGATCCATCCCACTGCTGGGTGCTCTGGGAAGGAGAGGGGTGGGTCTCTCACACGGCAGCAGGGCTGAGGGAAGGGGACAGTCCCAGGCGGGCTGTGCTGTCCCCAGAGCAGAGCTGGCAGCCTGGTGTTGTTGCTGTTGAGCGGTGCCGTGCCAGGGGTGTTGTTGCAGCCCGTTGAAAGGGCAGCAGATGGAGCTGCTCTGAAATCACTCAGCCTCCCAAGCCCTGGCGAACCCATGGTGCTTTTATCCCTCACATCCTGCAGCAGCATGAAGTTGCCAAACCTTTTGGCAGGCGGTTGGAGCGCACCCTCCAGAGGAGCCTGGCCGGGGTGGTTTGTCTGAACTCCATGTTTGGGGGCACATGGCCCATCCCAGCACTCTGGGCTCCACCTGCAGCCCCATTTGTGGCACAGGCTGGCTCCCAGCGCACAAACAGCTGCAGGAACCCATGCAGGCGTTTCTGCAGCACCCAGGGGTATAAGAGGCCACCTCATCCCTCCCAGTGACCCTAATGCTGTTTGGTTTTCCCCCTCAGAGGATGGGATCGTGATCAAGACGGAGGAGGAGGAGGAGGAGGAGGAGGACGACCCCGACACGCTGGAGCCGTGCGCCATGTTCTCGGGCCGGAGCGAGGCGCCGGCGTTCCCCAGCCACGAGGCCGGGCTGGGCTGCGAGGCGCAGTGCAGCTCCAAGGCGCAGCCCCGCAGCCTGGCCCGCGTCAGGAAGCCGTCGGCCTGCGAGAGGGACTCCGGGGACATGAAGCCGGCCAGCGGCCAGCAGCGGAACCGGACGCGGGAGAGACCCTACATCTGCCCCGAGTGCGGCAAGAGCTTCATGCTCAAGATCAACTTCATGATCCACCAGCGCAACCACCTCAAGGAAGGGCCCTACGAGTGCCACGAGTGCGACCTCAGCTTCCGCAACAAGCAGCAGTTCCTGCTGCACCAGCGCAGCCACACGCGCCGCGGCGTGGGGGTCCCGCGGCGCCCCGAGCACGGCCTCAAGCCCCCGGCGCGGCCCCCGCCCCCGGGGAAGCCCTACAAGTGCTCCGAGTGCGAGAGCAGCTTCAGCCACAAGTCGAGCCTCAGCAAACACCAGATCACCCACGTCGGGGAGCGGCCCTTCACCTGCGGCGAGTGCCGGAGGAGCTTCCGCCTGCAGATCAGCCTGCTCATGCACCAGAGGATCCACGCCGGCAAGAACGAGATGGCCTTCCTGTGCCCCCAGTGCGGCAAGAACTTCACCCGGCCCTCCCACCTGCTGCGGCACCAGCGGACTCACACCGGCGAGCGGCCCTACCAGTGCAGCCAGTGCGAGAAGACCTTCAGCGAGAAGTCCAAGCTCACCAACCATTACCGCATCCACACGCGGGAGCGCCCGCACGCCTGCGCCGTCTGCGGGAAGGGCTTCATCCGCAAGCACCACCTCCTGGAGCACCAGCGCATCCACACGGGCGAGCGGCCCTACCACTGCACCGAGTGCGGCAAGAACTTCACGCAGAAGCATCACCTCCTGGAGCACCAGCGGGCGCACACCGGCGAGCGGCCCTACCCCTGCACCGAGTGCACCAAGTGCTTCCGCTACAAGCAGTCGCTCAAGTACCACCTGAGGACGCACATGGGAGAGTGAGGGGCTGCCGAGGCTTCCTCTCCCTCCTTCCCTCCATCCCTCCCTTCCTCCTCCTCGTCCTTCTCCTCCACTGATCTCTCCCTCCCTCCCTCCATCCATCTCCCCCCACCCCGGCTCAGGGCATGGACATCAAGGAAGCTTTGTGTGGTAGCGCCGCTGGTCTGGTGGAGACTCGGCTGATTGGAAATAAATTAATGAATTAAAGCAAGCAACGTGCGGCAAAATTAAAAGATTATATGTATAAAAAATTAACAGAAGCAGCTGATTTAGGGGGAATCATCACCAACAAGCAAACAAACCACCAACAAAAGAAACCTGTACACAGGGTGTTTTGCCGGAGTAGAACTCGTAACTGCTTTTTAAATCTACTGTTTGGTTTTTTTAATAAATGTGGAGGAACTTTTTATTTGATAAGCAACCTTAGGATGGGCAAGATTTTATTTTCAGTTTTGATTTTTGTTTGTTTTGTTGGGTTTTTTGTTTTGTTGTTTTTTTTTTGTTAACTGCTCTGTAGGCTGATTCTGGCACAGTCACTTTTTGTCCAGGAGCTCTGTGGAGGTGCTGCCTCGTCCGGGCTGGATGTGACAGGAGGAGCTCCAGCGGGGGGAGGTGAGTAATTAACAGATGCAGCTGATGAGGAAGTTCTGCGTGTGTCTAGACTGGAAGCGCTGATAGGTGCCTGCCTGGCTCGCGGGGCTGTGATGCACTCCTGAATTATACAATAGAATAAAATTCTAGTTGCAGTAAAAGACCCTTTTTCTGGTAGGGCCCCTCCACAAGGCTCCCCCAAACCCTCATTAACAGCGCTCAGTCCTCCCACCGGGGGCTGGCCCTGCTGCCCCCGAGGCATGGGGTGCTGTGGGTGTGGCTGTGGGGCCAGCAGGGACTGAGAGCAAGACTTTGTTGTGTTTAACTGCTCTGCTGTCCTTGAGCCGCTGCTGGGGGCATCAACCGTGCCCTCAATGGCAGGAGCAGCTCCAGGCTGGCTCCAAGGAAAGACCTCCCTGCTCCTGGGCACCTGCTGCCAGGGTGGGTGGGACACGATCCATCTCCCTGCTGTTGGTCTGAGCTCCTGTTTGTAGCAGCTCGCTTCCCGGGGATCCCAGCTTGTCCTGGCATCAGCTCCTGAGGTTGGGCTGTGGCTGGTGAGAGCCATCCGAAGGGCTGGGGCTGAGGTGGTGACACCATCTGAAGCTGGGCTGGTGACACCAGCTCCCCAGAGAACACCGGGCTCCCTCCCGGTGCTGTCAGATGTCATGTTGGACAGTGGCATCAATAAACAGAGCAATGATGGGAGAAGTTGTCAGGACCTGTTAATGCCTTTGCAGAACCAAAGTTCTCATCCAAAATCTGGTGTATGAACCTCTCCTAAGTTGGGATTTAAGGCCTCTTCAGTGCTAGAATGTGCCAGAGGGCATCACAGCCACATGGAGCCGCTGAGAGCCACCAGCTGCTCATCGCTGTGGGCAGGAGCATTTTGGGGCTGCTGGGGCAGGATCCTGCCAGGGTTCCTGCCTTCCCACTGCTGGGGTGGTGCCTGCAACTCCCTGGATGAAGTTTGGGGTTTCAGGTCAGGGCGTGCTGTCAGACAGGAGTTGACACTTCCATCTCTGGAAGTTGGCCAGGCTGGATGAGGCTTGGAGCACCTGGGATAGTGGAAGGTGTTCCTGCCCTTCCAGGGAGGTGGAACAAGATGAGCTTTGAGGTCCCTGCTCAGCCAAACCATTCTGGGATTCCATGAAAAGTGCTGTGGTGGGGCTGATGTGCTGGGAGGGAGGTGTGGGGGTGGGACAGGAGGGCCTGGCTGCAGCCCTGTGTCCCTCAGCAGCCTCCCTGCATCCCCCTCACCAGGACTGGATGCAAGTATGGGGAAGGAGGAAATGAAAAGCAGAACTGATTCTGGTTCTCAGTGGCTCGTGTCCGTGACACTGGCAGGGACATGGACCTGGCAGAATCCTTTTTTCTTCCTATGAATGGGCAAATTCAGCTTTCTATTGGTAATGAACCAGCTGAGGTGCCTGTACCAGCCTGGCTGTCCCTGGCAGTGCCAGGACCTTGGTGTGGCCCGGCTGGCAGTGCCCGTGCCCTGCTCTGTGTCACTGGCCCCACACAGCAGCTCCTGCCCCTCGTGCTGCTCCTCGCCCGCCACACACGGCTCTAAATCCCAGCCACTGGACACTGCTGGGATTTAACAACATCCCGTGACCTCCAGCAGCTCAAATGTCACCAATCCCTCTGCAGAGACAGCTCCCGTGCCAGTGGGACAACAGGGCCAGCGTGGCCCTGAGTGCAGATGGCAAGGACTCTGAAATGCACAGTGGTGGCAATTGACAGCGTTGTCCCATGTGGCACACGGACTCGATGGCTCCTGTCCCTGCAGCTTGGGCCACTGGTGACACTCACCCAGCCTTCCCTGGGCTGCTGGAAGAACTGGACAGAGATGCAGCCAGAAAGCAGCTCCAGAACAGGGGACAAGCAGGAGCCACCGCTGTCCCCACCTGGGGGTGAGATGGGCACTGTACCCCCCGGCAGCAGCCCAGGGGCTCCAGATGAGTGGGGACATCAGGCTGTCACCCCGGGGTGCTGCAGGGACAGTGGGCAGGGTCTGGCAGCGCTGTCATGGCCTGTCACAGCTGCTGGCCCAGGGCCTGGCACCCGCCGGGGCAGGGAAGCTGGCAGTGGGTGGCAGGGACACTCAGGAGGGCACGGCCACGGCAGGGCAGTAAGCGCCTGGAGATGGATTTGTTTGACTGCTTTATCGTGTCGGGGGTGGATGGTGCTCCCCAAAACAGTCCTTGGGCCCCGGCTGGCAGCACAGGAGGGTGGAGGAGGAGCAGAACCGACGGTTGAATGCGGGGCCTTGGTTTGGGCACCCGGCACCCTCCGGCGCTGGGCCCAGGGCAGCAGCACAGCGGGGCCAGCGTGGGCCCAGCAGGCCGAGAAGCACCAGGCGGCTCGAGGGGCTCTGCTTCCCTCACACTGCTGCTGCTCTGCTCTGCTGCTGGGCTGAGAGTGCAGGAGACACTGGGAGAGGCGCCGGGCCATGCGGTGCGGGGATGGAGGCCGGAGCAGCCGGGGCTTGGGGGGATTCCGGGCGAGCAGGCCGGGCCGGAGCGCAGGGAGGCACGTGTGTGATGACATGGATACACAAACACAAACACACTCATACTCTTATACACACACACCCCCCCAAGCCCGTTCCCGGCCCTGCAGCCCGGCCCGTTTCCGTCGCGCCCCGGCCCGGCCCCTTCCGTCCGTTCCCGTCGGTCGCGGCCATGGCTGACGAGGTGCTGGCTCTGCGCGAGCAGCTGGTGGCCGAGGCCACCTGCCCCTTGTGCCTGGATTTGTTCGAGCAGCCCGTGCTCACGGCGTGCGGGCACAGCTTCTGCGGGCAGTGCCTGGCGGGCGTGCTGGGGAACCCGCCGCGCTGCGCCGCCTGCCCGCAGTGCCGCGCCCCGGTGGAGCCGGGCTCGCTGCGCCCCATCCGCCCCCTGGGTAACGTGGCCGGGCTGGCCCGGTGCCTGGAGGAGGTGGCGGCGCGGCCGCGGTGTGCCCAGCACGGCAAGCCCCTGGCGCTGTTCTGCGAGCCCTGCGCCGCGCTGCTCTGCGCGCTCTGCCGGGACGGGCCCGAGCACCGGCGGCACCGGGTCCGCCCCGCCGAAGAGGCCGCCCGGGAGCTGCGGGTACGGGGCGGCGCCGCGAGAGGGGCCGGGGGCTCGGGGAGGGGCTGGGGGCCTTGGCTGGCCGCGTGGGGCGGGCGAGGGGCACAGATCAGGGTCCCCTCCGGCCACAGCAGGGGCTGGGGTGCCCTGTGGGCACAGCTCGGTGCCCTGTCCGGGCACGCACCGGGGCTGCCTTCAGGGACAGGCTGGGCTCTGCTCTGGGTGCGGCTCTGGGCCCCCTCCATGCGTGGCTGGGTCTCCTCTGAGCAGGGTGTGGGCTTCCCTCAGGGCACGGCTCTGCCTGCCCTCCACACCCAGCTGAGGCCGTGTCCCTGGCCAGCCACGGACCTGGGGCCTCAGCCGGCTGCTGCCCGGCTCCCTGTCTGGCTGCCACTTTGGGGGCTGTACCCCACCCTGCTGGGGCTGCTGGTGCTCCCATCGCCTGGCCCCAGCCCACGCAGGAGCCCGGCTCCCTCTCATTGCTCGCCCCTCTGTGTCCCCATATGGTCCCTTGTGCCCCAGATGTCCCCAGCCAGGTTTCTCCCCCACAGTGTGGGCTGGGGTCTCGGCTCGCTGCAACGCAGGAGCTGACTCAGAGCATGAGGAGTTTGTTAATGCTCCAGCAAATTTATGGGGCATGTCTGAGTCCCTGCTACTGTCACTGCAAACCTCTTCCCAGAAATCACACTTCCAACTTGGAAAGTTGGTTTCTCTAACTAAAAAACAATTTAAAGAAACACAAACTCCAGGGTTTCCACATGAAGTTATTCCAGAAATGTTTCTGGCCATAAGAGGCGTGGATGGGGATCTCCCCAGCCTGACTAAAGTGAGGTTGGAGAGGTGGTTGCTGTCTCTGAGCTCAAAACTCACTGCCAGGCACTCAGGGGTCACCCCCAGAGATTCCCCAGACTGGGATTGTCTCCACAGGGGTTGTTTGGTTACATCATCCCCCTCCCGTGAATGTCACTCCCAAATTAACAGAAATGCCATTTTTTTTATCCCTATGCCAGGAGACCCTCCAGGGCAACCTGCTTTCTCTACAAGAACAGAAGGAAAAATGGAAGCACCTAGGAGACCAGAAAAGTGAAGACCTGCAGGTGTGTGTTTCTCCCACCGCTCACCCATGTCTCCCCAGGAATGTCCCATCCTTCCCTCTCCCCATATATATTTATTTCCTTATCCATGCCAGCGTTCTTTTCTCTGTCCAATATCATACGGCCTCCTTTGGCCCATCAACATCCAGACTTGCCACACCTCTCTATGTTCTTCCTGCTGTTGCTGTTCCAAGTTCTGTGTGATCCTTGCCCCCTCTCTGCAGCAGCCGTGTCCCTGCGGAGGCAGCCGGAGGCTGGCTGGGCTCAGGGCCTCCGTGCGGTGCCTTGCAGATGAAGGTGATGTGGGAGCTGCAGCATGTGCCCGAGACCTTTGAGGAGCTGCAGCGGTGCATGGAGGAGCAGAAGAAGATGCTGCTGGCCCAGCTGGAGCAGAAGTTCCAGGAGCTGGTCAATAAGAACGAGGAATACACGTCCAGGGTTTTGGAGAGGCAGTCGCTGCTGGACACGGTGATTGCGCAGATCCAGGAGAAGAGGGACCAGCCGGCGGTCGAGTTCCTCACGGTGAGGCAGCATCCCCCACTGGGCACTGTGACCCCTGCTGGGCTGGGGACAACCACCTGGCACCCTCTGCAGCCCGGGGCCATGGTGGGACACTGTGCTGTGACACCGTGCTGTGACACCGTGCTGTGACAGTGTGCTGTGACACCGTGCTGTGACACCGCGCTGTTACACCATGACATCTCACTGTGAGAGTGTGACACTGCAGTGTGACACCAGGCTGGGACACTGCACACTGACACTGTGACACTGCAGTGTGACACCAGGCTGGGACACTGCACACTGACACTGTGACACTGCAGTGTGACACCAGGCTGGGACACTGCACACTGACACTGTGACACTGCAGTGTGACACCAGGCTAGGACACTGCACACTGACACTGTGACACCCCTGTGTGGCACTGTGCTGTGCCCGCTGTGGGTTGCAGCCCTGAGGGAAGGGAGGGCTGGGATGAGGTGTGGGCTGAGCCCCAGCCCCTTAACCTGCTTCACACAGCTGGGCAGCCACTGCAGCTCCCTGTCCCTCGGCAGTGCCACAGTTCACCTGTGTTTTCTCTCTTGCAGGATGTTGGCACAGTCCTGAGCAGGTATGAAACAGGCTCGGTGTCCCTCTCCTGCTGCTCAGCTCCTTTGGGCAGAGGTTTGTGAGCGCTGCAGGAGCTGGGAAGGAGGTGGTTTGCCCTGCTGGATATTTGGGATTTCATGAGACGTTACCAGGAACCAGAGGCCACTGCACCCCTCCTAAAGATGGGGCTCCAGTGCTGATAGCAGGGACAGAGCTGCCCTGGGATCTGTGGCTGCAGGGATTTCCCTGTTTCCCTCCTGGCCCTGGCTGGTGGCTGGGCTCTGAGCTCCTCTCCCTGTTCCCCTCAGCTGTGAGGCAGCCAAGGCCCCGATCCCAGAGCCGGTTTCCCCAGAGCTGCAGAGGAGCATTGAGAGCCTCTCTGAGAAGAGCCAGTGGCTTGTGGACATGCTGAATAAATTGAGAGGTAAAGCCCTGCTGGCTCTGTGCTGTGCTTCCCCTGGGCTTGGCTGGCAGTGGGAAATCCTCACTGCCTGGTGCCTCTGCCTGGGGCTCAGGAGCAAAATGGCTCCTGCAGATGGGAACCACCCCCGGGATGGGCTTTGCTGGAGCCTGGGGCTCCACATCTGCCTTGCTGCCCTGAAGGGGAGCAGGAAAGGAGCCACAGGAGAGACACTCATGCATCTTCCTTTCCTTCTTCCAGTGAGCCTGCGGAGAGAGATAGACTGGGGCATAAGGGGTGAGTTTCTGGAACTGATGAGCACAGCTGAGGGGGAAATCCTTTCCAGGATGAGTGTCCTCATGTCCTTGGTGCAGAGATAGGCTCACACCACCTCTAAACCCAGCATCTGTCTACAACTGAATTCTATTGCTTTGACTAGGCCCGCTATTAAAATCCAGGTCTGTCCCTGTGACAGGCTGTGCCAGGGATGCTGTCCTGTGACACCAGGCAAGGGTGTCACAGGACAGCAGGAGGCCGTGTCAGTGTCCCTGTGACAGGCTGTGCCAGGGATGCTGTCCTGTGACACCAGGCAAGGGCCAGGACAGCAGGAGGCCGTGTCACCTGTGCCCAGTTAAGCAGAGGGGCTGTACATGATTTTAGCTGGCTTTCAGGCATGTTCAGAAGTGCTTTTGCAGATGCTCAGGGCCCACATGATGCAGCATTGCTGGGCTGAGGTCTGGCTGGCACCATTTGTGCTGAGCCCCCTCTCCACACTCCCTTTTTGGGATGATGCCCTTGAGCACAGGAGAGTCGTGCCTCCGTTTCCCCCTGCAGTCCCTGGAGGAGTGGGTTTAGCAGAGGGTCTGGGGTGGTGACACTGCACAGTGCCACCTGTGTGGCCTTGTGGGACGGCCACGGGATGGCAGCAGAACATCCCTGTGGACGGGCAGCTGTGGCTCTGCAGCGAGGTTGCCTGCTTGCTGGGCAGAGCAGAGCAGGGCTCCCAGCTGGGTGAGCCCTTGTCACCGGAGCAGGGACTGGCCTGGCCCCTCCTGCCTTGCAGCAGTGCCTGCTCACACCCATGGCATGCACTGCTCCCCGCAGGCTGCAATATCCAGCAGATCTGGGAGCAGTTTAGCAAAGCCCATGGTGTCTGTCCCCTGCATGTGGGGACACTGCCTGGCTCTGTCCTGCCTTGGGGAGCATCTTTTCCCCCTTGGGTGCCATTGTGGGGACAGTAAGGGTCCCGTGTCCCATGGCACCTGAGGGGGCTGCAGGAGTGCCCATGGTGTTCCCAGCACACGTCCCAGCCCCGTGGTGGAGGAGAGGTGCTGGTTCTCTTCTCAGCAGGCACAGACTGATGTTTCTGTCCTCCTTTAGAGCAGGTGAGGCTGGACCCAGAGACGGCGAATCCTTGTCTGATCCTTTCAGACGACTGCAAAATGGTCCGGTACAGCGCTGGAAAAAAATACCTCCCTGACACCCCCAAGAGGTTCACGGCCAGCCTCAGTATCCTGGGCTCCCAGGGGTTCACGTCTGGGAGGCATTACTGGGAGGTGGAGGTCGGGGAAGAGGGCTGCTGGGCCCTGGGAGTGGCCATGGAGTCCGTGCCGAGGAAGGAGTCTCTCGACCTGCACAGATTTGAGAATGTCTGGGCCCTGCAGTTGGACTGGAGGGGCCAGTACAGAGCAGTCTGCATGACCCGTGACGTGCTGGCACTCAGGGAAAAACTCCAGAGAATCAGGGTCTGCCTGGACTACGAAGCAGGCCAAGTGACCTTCTACAACACAGAGGACATGTTGCAGATCTTGCAGTTGGAGGCCACTTTCACTGAGAAAGTCTTCCCATATTTTTGGGTCTATTCAGAAAAAACCCAGATCCGGGTGTGTGACTGACAGGGTGGGATGGCTGCCGGGCCCCTGCCCGTGCCCTTGGCTGGCTGAGCAGGGAGGAGCTGTGCCAATGTCACGGCATCACACTGCAGCCCCACTGCAGCTCTGCCTGGGCTGGATCCTCTCTGCAATTTTCTGCATCTCCTCCCGCTAAATCCTTTGGAGCATTAAAGAAGTGCTGTCCTGCCTGGGGGTGTCAGCGTGCTGCTATCCTGGCTGGATGCCGTGGTGATGGTGTCCTACCCCTCCCTGTGGGCACTGAGGCCACAGAATAATCGGGAGGGAGGAGGGAAGGGGCTCTGATTGTCCATGCCAGCCTTTGGCAGCACTGCAGGGCTGGTGGCACCTGGGCTGGGCTGGCCTGGAGGGTGCAGCCATCCTGCGCTCAGGAAGCCAGGCTGGAGCCATGATAATGGTGCCTTGAGTTTTAGCTTTCAGATTTTTTTGATTCTGTGCTGCTTTGGTGCGTAGTTCTGAGCTTCATGTTAAGTGTTAGCAAGTTCTCTTCACAGGGTAGGTAGACAAAACAATCCTTTTCTAGCTGGAGAGCAAGAATACAAAGTCCTGGCCCAAAAAGTAAAAATAATGGTGAATGGAAAAGAGAAAAACAAGGAGTGTGCAACTTCATAACCTAAAGCTGTAATTGGGCAATTAACTCCAATACGCAAATAGACCAAAACTTACAAGTGAGAGACTTCGTGAGCGCTCATCCATTTTGTGCCTACTTTGGATCCGTCTTGGGTGTAGCCCTGGCCAGGGTACTGCCCAAGATGTAGCCATTAAGGCATTTTACTAAATACCTGCTTTATTTGTTAACTCTGTCTAGCCTCTCTTTGAGGTCAACCTCCATAAGGCCTCAGTTCTGGCACCCCAGATGGGAGAGAACCCACAATCCCTGGCTTAGGAAGGCAATGCCTTATGCATTAGTGGTGATAACTGCTCAAAAAGTTTGTAAAAAGGAAAATGTTCAGGAAGCGATATGAGGAGTGAGGGCACCTGGAAGAGCAGCGGGAGCTGGGGGTGTGATGGCGATGTCTGAGATCTGGCGTGCTCAGGGGAGGACCAAACACCTCACTGCCTCAACCATGAACCAGCAGCATCGTGTGACTGGCAGGGCCCAGGCAGAGCAACGCGGGTTGTGGGTCGTGTCCTGGAGATGCCTGGATCCAAAGTGATCAGATGGATCAGCAGTCTCTGGAACCTCCAGAGAGACATGGCAGAGGATTTGCCAGGGGCTGGACAGCAAGATCTGCCAACCCTGAGCTGAGGAGAAGCTGCGTGTCCTAAAGATTTTATGTGGAGTACGAGTGGGGGACTGTCACGTCTCCCTTCTCCTGCTCTTCTGTCCGTGAACCCCATCCTGGTGTCGCAGGGATGTGCACTGCCTTATTTCCCCAGCCGCTCACCAAATGCCTCATAAATGGCTTTTGTTCTCATTTGATGAGAAATTATGTGGGAAGGGCTCTTTGAGGAGAAATATTTGAGGAGGGCTCTTTGTCTTAGTGAAGCGGTGTTATCTGCTGAGTTTGTGCCTTTTTTCTTTCATGTTCCCCATTTTCCCCTCACGCCCAAGCTAAAGGGAGACGGCCGGAAACATGGCGGCAAAGGGGCGCCGCTGTGAGGCGGGAACTACATTCCCCAGCATGCAACGCAGGGAGCGGTAACGCGGCGCGCCCGCTAGAGACTCTGGGAAATGTAGTCCTTCCTCCACTCTGGCGCGCAATCCCCCCACTCCGGTTTCCTTGCTTTCCTATTGGTCCAGAGCGACGCCAAGCAACTGCCGTGGGCGGGGCCTAGCGGCGGCGCCGCCGTTCCTACTGGCCGGGGCGCGCGCGGTGGGAGGGGAGGTTTGAAAAAAAACAACCCGCCCCCCGCGGGGCGCCGCGCGCTGATTGGCCGAGCCGCGGTTTGGCGCCAGCTTCGGAGCGGGCGACGGCTACCGGTTGGGGTCAAAACGCCGCGGCGGCCGCGCTGACGGCAGGGACGGGACGGCTGCGCTGCATTCCCGGTCCCACTCCCATGGATCCCACCCCGAGCGCTTCCCACCGCCGCCGCCTCCTGCTTCTCTCGCCGGCGTCCCCCGCCTCGCCCGCCGTGGTCAAGGCGCTCTTTCAGGATGAGCTCTCGCCTGTCTCGGACCTCCGCCTCACCATGGAGCAGCTGGGGCGCGGGTCAGTCCGGGCCCGGGCACTCTCCTTTTTTTTCCCTTTTCTCTCGTTTTTCCTGCCGCTGTCGTGATCCCCCAAAAAAAGCGAGGTGTGGAGGCCTTACCTCCCGCACCAAGAGAGATTCTTTGTCCTTTTCCCCATTCCCGGGCACTTTGTCCCCCCCATTCCCGGGCACTTTGTTCCCCCCATTCCCGGGCACTTTTCCCCCTCTCCAGAGCATTTTCTTCCCCTCCCGGCCCCGCAGCGAGGCGCAGGGAGGCTCCCCCATAGATAAAAAACCCCAAGGCCTGCTGGAGTCGTTTTCCTTCCGTTCCCTCCACCCCCGTAATTCCCTCCCGCGCGGCGAAGCCTGATGGAATTCAAAAAAGAAAATCCCAAAAAAACCCCAAACCCCCGGGGCGTGTTTATGCCCCTCTCAAACCCCGAAGCCCTAAGTGTGTCCTTTAAGCTCGCCAGGCCCTCGGGAGTGTGTCTGCTCTCCCTTTCCTTCCCCCAGCCCTCAGGGGAGGCCCCGGGGGTCTCTGCGGCCCCTTCCCCCTGAGGGCTCGGCCTGCCTGCTCCGCTCCCCGCACGGGCAGCCCCCCTTCTCCCACCCCTTCTCCCGGAGCTGTCCCTGCTCCCCACGAGGCCTCGGCTCGCTCCCTCCCACCCTGCACGCCTCCATGTGTCCCTCAGGGCCCCCCACCCCTTTGCTGGTGCTCTCCTGCTGCCCCCATCCCACACGGATGCACGCTCTGGGACACCTTCCCCTGCCCTTCCCTGTCTCCCACCAATCCCTTTGTGCCCCTTCCTCGTCCTGCTCCTCTCCCAGGTGCTGCAGGCTGTGCCCTGCAGCTGCTCCTGCTCCATTTTGCTGCTCTCTGGGCTCCCCTAATCCCATTATTGCCACAGCTCCTCCCTCGTGTGGCTCCTGTTTTGTCCCGGTCTCAATGACCCTCCTGGGTTTTATTCGTTGGTTTTCTGTCATTCTCATTTCTGCCACCACCTGCTTTATGCTCCTTCCTGCCTTCAGATTCCTGGGATTCCTGCAAACCATTGGCAGTGCCCCCCTTGGAAGTTATTCAGCCCTTTGATTTTGTGGCCCTGGCTACATTTTTTTTTTTTGGTTAATTAACCACGTGCTGGAGCCTCACTCAAGTAGCTTTTCCCTTACATATGTGAGGCTCCATATGATTTTCTTCTCTCTCAGCACTGAAATTGAGCAGAAAAAACAAAATTTGGGAGGTAACTATTTATGAAAATGGGTTTGAATTAGAAATTTGGCAATTTTCTCTATGCAAAACCTGAATTAAAGTGGTGGCTGCCAGAGAGAGGATTGCAGTTCCAGGAAGGATTTCCACTCTGGTGGAAATCCAGGCTGTACCTACCTGCAGTGTTGTTTCTTGCTTTTAAAGCAAATCCCAAATTTTCCTTTCCAGGCAGCATGAAAACCTGGACCAAGAGGTGGGAACCAAAAATGGATTGCACAGATCAGCGTCTTCAGAGTCCACAGACTCAGGTGGGGCTGCCTCAATTAACAAACACTCATTAGGAATTGGAAAGCAATGCACTTCTACATGGCACCTGGGCTTTGGAGAGAGAACTGGCCCTTGGAAGGAGGGAGGCAGCTGGAAAATCCCCCAGGAAACCTCTGCAGCTCATGGTTTGGGCTGTGAATATTTAAATTTTTTAAATTTTGCTTTAATTGTCCTGGAGCCTGTGAGCAGTAGGGAGGGAAAACAAGTCCTCACTGTGTTTTTTCTGTTTAAACCCAAACTGTGGCAGTGAGTGGCTCTGTCCTGTGCTCTCCCCTTACCAGGAGCTGGTTGATGGTCTGAAACCCCTCAGGTCTGGTACTTCCTGGGAGGATTTCCTGTTTTTCACACGAGATGTTTCACCACTGAAAATGAAATAAGCTCTCACCCCATAACTTGTAGATTCTCTCTGGTGCTTCATTGCCTCAGCTCAGGGAAATTACTGATTCCACCTGGATTTATGCCCCATTTTGAGGGCACTTTCAGCCTAAAAAAGACCTTTGTGAAGTGCTGAAGCTCCCAAACCCTGGAGCAGGACAGAGCAACCAGCCTTGCCAAAGCCTCCCTTTCTGTGGCTCCTCAGGGATCTGTGCTGGAGTGACTCTGGATGTGTCTGGAAGCTCTGGGGCTGTAAAGCTGTGCTTGCTTTGTGCTTCCCCTTAATTCCAGGACATTCATTTGACTGCTCATTTTTGGGAACGAGCCCAACATTTCTTTGTAGGTGTAACTAAAAGCATGGCTTGAAAAAAAACCTAAAGGATTAAATTGTTTATCAAGGTGTGTGGTGGATAAACAGAGTATTCCATGCTAATGGCAGCACTCTGCTCCATGTGACAGCTCAGGCAGGTCTTGGGGGGCTTTTTTAAATTCTCCCTGTTTTTCCCCAAGCACTGGTGCTTGATCCACAGCCAAACCCCACAGTGGGGAGTGGCTGTAACTCTTAATTTAGTAATTAATTTATTCTAAAATAGTTATTTTAGAATTACTTATTATAATTTATAATAAATATGTATTATAATAAATAAAAGTATTTAAAATTTTATTAAAATTAAATTAAAATTATTATTTAAAATTTATTAAAAATTAAAATTATTAGAATTAAAATTATTATTTTAAATTTTATTAAAATTAGAATTAAAATTATTATTTAAAATTTTATTAAAATTATTAGAATTAAATTAAAATTTGGGAACGAGCCCAACATTTCTTTGTAGGTGTAACTAAAAGCATGGCTTGAAAAAAAACCTAAAGGATTAAATTGTTTATCAAGGTGTGTGGTGGATAAACAGAGTATTCCATGCTAATGGCAGCACTCTGCTCCATGTGACAGCTCAGGCAGGTCTTGGGGGGCTTTTTTAAATTCTCCCTGTTTTTCCCCAAGCACTGGTGCTTGATCCACAGCCAAACCCCACAGTGGGGAGTGGCTGTAACTCTAATTTAGTTCTTAATTTAGTCTAAAAAATTATTTTATAATTATTTATTATAATCTATAATAAATATGTATTATAATAAATAAAATTATTTAAAATTTTATTAAAATTATTAGAATTAAATTAAAATTATTATTTAAAATTTTATTAAAAATTAAAATTATTAGAATTTAAATTATTATTTAAAATTTATTAAAAATAAATTATTAGAATAATTTATTCAGCACTGAGGCCAGGCTGCAGGTGGGACTTTCCACATGAATTTCCTGGGTATTATTATTTAAAATTTATTAAAAATTAAAATTATTAGAATTAAAATTATTATTTTAAATTTTATTAAAATTAGAATTAAAATTATTATTTAAAATTTTATTAAAATTATTAGAATTAAATTAAAATTATTATTTAAATTTTATTAAAAATAAATTGTTAGAATAATTTATTCAGCACTGAGGCCAGGCTGCAGGTGGGACTTTCCACATGAATTTCCTGGGTCTTTCTGTGGAAATCTTTAGCAGTTGTGATGCTCCCTGGGTATAAATCAGTGGGAACTCTGTGTCTCCTCTGCAGGTTTGGCTTTGGATTCTCCTGGCCCTGCGACCTCACACGACACCATGGAGGACATGTGAGTGGCATCATTTTAACCAAGCTGGGCTGGTGAGCCTGGGGAGGGCTTTCCTGCTGCTCCAGAGCTGGAATTCTGGGATTGGCCCTGCCCAGGGCATGGAGTGCTGCCTCTGAGCAGGGTGTTGTGCCAACCACACGGCCCTGGCACCTGCCTGCAGCCTGGGGCTGCCCCAAGCTCTGTCTAAATGGCATTTTTAACATTTGGTTCCAGTCTGTGCCTTAAGAACCACAGAACCATTTAATTTGGGAAAGACCTCTGAGACCTTCTAGTGCAACCTTTGATCTTTTTGCTTTTAGGTTTGAGAAAGCAATCAAATCCAGCAGGCTGAAGTAAGTATAATTCCATTTTAAATTCTTCCTCATTGTCTCTTTTAGATTATGGAATTGGGGGGTGATTTCTGTTCATGTCACTGCCTTTTAAAGCAAAATGTTGAAATAAATTTTGGTTTTTTCGTTGTAGCTTTCGAATACCTTTCAGAAGAATCCATTCCCTGCCAGTAAGTGAGAGTGGGATTGATGTTTTATACATGTTAAAGGATTTAGCATGGTTTTGGTTGAATGCTTGTTAGTTTTCTGGCTTCAACACCAGCTGCTGGGGTGCTTAATGTCAAAACTGCAGTTTGTAAATTCCCAATCTCATTTAATTTAGTGTGAAGTTTCCCTGGTGTGGCTCCATCACTGGTGCACTGAAACATTTTGGTCCCTGTACCAAGATGTCAGCAGAGGATTCCTGCACAGGGTGTGCAGAATTTGTAGTCAGAGGCTTTCCAGCCTTTGTTAACCCTTTAGTGCTTGAGATGTGCTTGTGCAAGGGCTGATGCACAGTCCTGAGCTGTCCCTTCTGTGTTGTAGCAAAGCCTGCTGGGCTCCAGCCCTGCTCTGAAGAGAAACCACTCTGACTCTCTGGACACTGATGCTTTCCAGCCTTTGGAACAGGATGAAAACAAGGAAAATGTGAGTGCTCTTTCCTGATGCCTGTGGGAGGGGAGGCACAGCTGCATCAGCACATCCCTGCACAGGGAATGTGATGGGAAAGGCTTCACTTGCTCCCTGCCAGGCTGTTCTTCAGGCACAACCACCTTTAGCTCAGTTTTCCTGAAGGGAACTTGCAGCTCTCATTGGAGTGGCTGCAAACTGTTGGCAGGTGAATAAAAATTGGGAAGACTTTGCCTGGTTCTGCCTTGGTGCCACTGACCCTGACTCCTTCCTGGCTGTGGCAGAGGAAAATCTGTTCCCACTGCTTGCTCTGGGCAGGAGCTGCCCCCAGAAGGGGTTTGGGGAGGTCACCCCTGGCTGTCCCCACTGCTGCCATGGGGAGCCCTGGTTCCTCTTGGATTCCATGTCCTGGATCTGCCCTGGCTGCTGGGACAAGCCTTGCCTGCCTCCAGGAATGATTTATCTATTCTGCAGAGAATTCACTGACAGGGATAGAGAAGCCCTGCAGCCTGTAGGTGATGCCAAGAGCATAAATGCTGGATTGTGTTAGATGAAACATCTTTAATTTGAAAACATTCACTTTCAGCCTATTCCTGTTGGCAGCAAGGAGCTGAAATCCAAAATGTCAGGCAGTTTAACAAAATGGAAAAGATAAAAGGATCCAAGCAGCTTAACAGAGTTGGTAATTTTGGTAAAATGATCGTTTTGGTGTTTTTTATTTCAGGAATCATTTGAGTTCAAGAAGCCAACCAAACCAGCTTCTCGTGGCTTCCGTGATGGAAGGGGTGTTCCTGGAGCCAGGCAGAATTCATCTCCAGCTCAGGTACTTGGTTCTTTTCAACTAATTCTCACCTAATTCTCTGGGATCAAAATAAACAAATCAGGGTTCTTTCTGAAGTGGTGATGTCAGTCAGGTGCCAGATAGAAAAACTTATTTATCTGCCAGATAAGAGAATTCTTCTCACCTTTGGCTCATGAGAAATTTGAAGCATTGTTCTGGGAAAGACAAGTCAGGACAGAGCTGGGGTTCTGCTCAGTAAGGGAAGGGAGTGTGGACATTGATTTGGATTGAAATGATCAGTAAAGTTGATACCGAATGTTCAGGCAGATGCATTTGGAACAACAAACCAAACTCTGTAAATGCAGCTGGGTTTTGTGTCCAGATGTGGCATCCATGGAGAAAATGTACTTTATTCATACCCTGTGTAGAAAAAGCAAGTGAAAAATCATTGTACAGAAACAGCTGGAGGCCAAGCCTTGTCTCAGCTCCCTGGATCCAGCAGCCCTTCCAGAATCCTGCTGATCCCTGCCTGTGCTGCAGCTCAGGGCTGGGACAACCACGGTGTTCCCTGGAGTGCAGAGAGCCCCTCCCTGGCTGCAGCACCCTGCAGGGAGCAGAGGGAATGCTGTTAAACCCCCTCTGTCTCCCCTCAGCTGCCCGTGGGGGAAACAACCTCTGGGGAGCAGGAGAACTCCAGGGCAGCCTTCCTGCAGCAGCATTCCCTGCCCTCCTCGGAGAGTGAGGATGATGATGGCTTCATGGAGCTGCTGGATGACCAGGACTTGAAGGTGTGTGCAGAGAGGGTGGGGTGGAGATCCCCAAATCAGCTCTGCCTGGTGTGCTCTGGCTGCAGGCAGGGTGCTCAGACTGCACCACGCTGGGTTTTTGGGAATCACAGAAGCCCAGACTGCTCTGGGTTGGGAGGGACCTTAAAGCTTATCCAGCTCCAATCCCCTTCACATGGGCAGGGGCATCTCCCACAAGGAGATTAATTAGTTCTCATCATCTTTTCTAACTCACACTGGGGTGTCTTTATCTTATAAATGCTCTTTCCTAGAGCAGCCAGTGGGATTTGTTTGGGGTCTGAACAAGGGAATTATTTTTAGTTTGAGAACTGAGGGAATTATTTGGACAGTTGGCATTTTTCTTTAGAAACTTCCTGAAAAAGTCAGAGGTGATGATTGCTTTGAGCCACTTAGATACAAAACTGTTTGCAAAGGAATCTGAAATGCTTAAAGCCCAGGAGGCTCATCTGTGTTAATCAATCAATGAATTGATAAACTCACCTTCTCCAACATGGCTCTGCTCAGTTCCATTATTTCCTTAAGAACTGCACTGATGATGGAGTTAATGAAATCCCTGAGGCTGCTCTGGCAGCTGAGTGCAGCTGGAATGTTCACCTGAGCCAGGCAGGACTGTCCCTGCACTGTCCCCTGGTGAGGGGGACAGGAACTGTCCCCTGGTGAGGGGGACAGGAGCTGTCCCTGCAGTGTGTCCCCTGGTGAGGGGGATGAGCAGGAGCTGTCCCTGCAGTGTGTCCCATGGTCACAGGGATGAGCAGGAGCTGTCCCTGCAGTGTCCCATGGTGACAGGGATGATCAGGAGCTGTCCCTGCAGTGTCCCATGTTGACAGGGATGATCAGGAGCTGTCCCTGCAGTGTGTCCTGTGCTCAGGGGGATGATGAGGAGCTGTCCCTGCAGTGTGTCCCCTGGTGACAGGGATGAGCAGGAGCTGTCCCTGCAGTGTCCCATGGTGACAGGGATGATCAGGAGCTGTCCCTGCAGTGTGTCCCCTGGTGAGGGGGACAGGAGCTGTCCCTGCAGTGTGTCCTGTGCTCAGGGGGATGATGAGGAGCTGTCCCTGCAGTGTGTCCCCTGGTGACAGGGATGAGCAGGAGCTGTCCCTGCAGTGTCCCATGGTGACAGGGATGATCAGGAGCTGTCCCTGCAGTGTCCCCTGGTGACAGGGGTGAGCAGGAGCTGTCCCTGCAGTGTGTCCCATGCTCAGGGGGATGAGCAGGAGCTGTCCCTGCAGTGTCCCCTGGTGACAGGGGTGAGCAGGAGCTGCCCTCTCTTGCAGAACCACGAGGAGATGCCCTCAGACGTGTCCAGTCTCTGGACGGCCCCGCTGGTCATGAGGAGAGCAGACAGTCGGGTGAGTGTCCCCACAAGGGACAGGGGCTGTGCCATCCCACTGTCCCTGCACCCCTAGAACAGAACAAGCCCTGGCATAACCCCCTGCACAATTCCCTTATCTCTGGAGCAGCTCACCTGGCAGACTTTGTCAGTGTGGAACTATTGGTGTTTTTATAGGAATAGAATTTCTTCTTGCACTTCATAAATGTGAGAAGATCTTGACTTCCCTTATCAGAGTCTTGGCATATGTGGAATTCACTCTGCAGGGACTCACCTGGAATGCTGTAACCTGATGCTTTGATAACAGACTGGGAAAGGAGCTCCAGCAGAAAGCTCCTTCATCTGCTGATAAATTGGCTGCTAATTGATGTAGAGCATTTTGCTGGCTCTTTATCTTGCTTATGGTGCCCCAAGCTTCCCCAGTAACAAGTGTTACTGGAAATGCAAAGCCTGGATAATTCAGATTAACAGCCCCCTGTTGCTCTGCAGTGGTGGTGCCTTAAATGAGGCCAAGTCTGGAATAATCTGAAAGCCTGAGTTGTGTTTATTTTCTTTTGTAAACCTTTGCTGGACAACTCAACTCCTCTTCTCCCTCGTAGGCCAAGCGGTGCCGGCTCTTTGGCTCTTCATCCATGTCAAGCATTGCAGGAAGAACCACCCAGAAAAGGATGGAGAGGTCCCAGGAGGAGAATTCTCCAGGGAAAAGCAAGAAGAGGAAAAGCCTGCCCGGAACATCCGAGGACTCCACGGTTGGTGGCTCAGCATCCAGTTTGTGACACAGGAATGATGAGGGGAGATGCAGAGTTGGGGTCTGGTTTCTGAAGGTTGGTGGGAGCTTTTCCAGGTGGATTCCACAGTCCTGAAGCTGAGCTTTGCCCTGAGGGGCAGCTCAGGGCTTGGGAGTGCACTCCAAGCTGTCAGCTGTGGGAAACAGGGAATGGGACGTGTTTGCCCTCATGGATCTCTCACCTGTGTCCTGCAGAGCCTGAAGCTGGTGAGGACCCAGCCCTCCACAGCAGAGATTGAGAGCATTTTGGACAGTGACCAGAGGGACCTTATCGGGGACTTCTCCAAGGTAATTCCAGAGATTCCATGGCCAAGTGTTGAATGAAGTGTTTCAAGGGCTTCTCTTGGTGGGGATGTCTCAAACCAGCCCAGAAAAACACTTCCCTTTGTAGAGGCTCTTCTGTTCCCTCATAAACCTGCCTTGCTTCTTTGGACTTGATCTTGGGGGTCTTTTCCAACCTTAACAATTCCTTGATCTTCAAACAACCAGGAGAGGCCCTTGGTGAGAAGGGGATGGCCCAGGTTGGACACAAACTGATCCACGTGTGGTTAAAGCCCTATAAAATCCTCTAGTGTAGGAGCCAAAAATGAAATTCTGTGCCTGATTTTAGCATTCTTAGGAGCTTTAACTCCTGCAGAGGTTCTGGCCAGCAGAGTATCTGTTAGGGAGTGAACTGCTGGATGCTGTGCTGTCACCCACGTGACTCACAGCTGGAGTTTTCTCAATCCTCTCTCTTCCAGAGTTATTTATTTGACACTGTCGATGGGAAACATCAAGATTTAAAATACATCGACTCCGAAATGGTGAGTGCTCCAAGGGAGCCAGAAAAATCCTTTAGTGGGTGTTGGGGAACAGCACAAAAATGGCTTGAAACAACTGAACTCTGCTTCTTCTGGTTTTTTTTCTCAGATTGTGTCTGTGCTGACTGGGAAGTTTGAGAGCTTCATCAAGCAGTGTGTGATAATTGACTGTAGATACCCCTATGAGTATGAAGGGGGGCACATCAAGGTATGTTGGCCTCATAAGAGCAGTGCAGGTGGTCTGAAGCTGCAGCCTGGGGTCACTGGGATCCCTGTGGGGCTGATTTTTATCCAAGGCTCTGTGGATATGTCATTGCTGAGGGGCCCCTCTGGGATCCTGCCGTGCTCACCCACTGCCTGGGTTTGGACACTGAGCCCACATGTGGGCCATGAAGTGGCTGCTCCCTCCAAAGAGGGGACATTCTGCTCTCTGTAAGCAGAGGAGGGGCCCTCAGGGTGACAGAGGTTCCAGAGGAGGATGTGACACTCGGTGTCCAGCGTCCTCATATCTCAGGAGGCTAAAATTGGAATGCTAAACTTCATTTCAATCACTTCAAAGGAAAAATGGCTGTGTAAAACATAACCAGGAACAGGTCACCCAGACACCTTGTGATGGTAGAGCCCCTTTCAGAGCCTAGAGGGGCTCCAGCAGAGCTGGAGAGGGACTTGGGGCAAAGCATGGAGGGACAGGACACAGGGAATGGCTCCCACTGCCAGAGGGCAGGGAGGGATGGGAGATTGGGAAGGAATCACAGAGCCAGTTCCAGACTGTCCGTGGTGTCCTGGTGGGGTTTAGAGCTGTACTGGGAGAGGGTTCCAGGCTGTCCATGGTGGGGTTTGGAGCTGTGCTGGGAGAGGGTTCTAGGGTGTCCCTGGTGGGGTTTGGAGCTGTGCTGGGAGAGGGTTCTAGGGTGTCCATGGTGGGATTTGGAGCTGTGCTGAGAGAGGGTTCCAGGCTGTCTCTGGTGGGGTTTGGAGCTGTGCTGAGAGAGGGTTCCAGAACTTGTCCTGCAAACCCAGATGAGGAATTGGTTCCCAAGGGCGTGGGATGAGTTCGTGGCTGTCCCTCCCGCTCAGTGCTTGGACTCTGCCCTTGCAGGGTGCCATAAACCTGCACATGGAAGAGGAGGTGCAGAATTTCCTGCTGAAGAAGCCCATCCCGCCGTCGGAGGACAAGCGCGTCATCGTGGTGTTCCACTGCGAGTTCTCCTCGGAGCGGGGCCCGCGCATGTGAGCTCCTCTCCCTGGCACCAGCTCCCACTGGCAGAGCCTGGGCTGGCTCCCCTTGCTGTGCACGGGGTGGCTGTCACCCCTGGCAGGGTTTGGCACAGCCTTGAGGAGCCGTGCTGGGCCTGGGCTGCAGCACTGCAATGTTCAGAGGGGAAGGGAAAACCCTCTGGGCTGTGGGGCTGCTCAGGCTCTCCCTGGCAGCTCCAGCTCCTCCTCTGAGGGATGTGGATGCAGCTTTGGGAGTTACTGGGTGGGTGTGGGATTTAACACGGGAATTTCCCTGCTGCAGGTGCCGGTTTGTGAGGGAGCAGGACAGGCTGAGCAATGAGTACCCCAACCTGCACTACCCAGAGCTCTACGTGCTCAAGGGGGGCTACAAGGATTTCTTTGCGAGGTGCCAGGTGGGTAACGTGGATTCTTCATCCCTGGAAGTGTCTGAGGCCAGGTGGGAAGGGGCTTGGAGCAGCCTGGGACAGTGGAAGGTGTCCATGCCATGGCAGGGCATGGAACAAGGTCTTTAAGATCCCTCCAACTCAAGCCTTTTTATGGTCTCTGTCACACACAGATAAATAATATTAATTTCTTCCTACTCAAACTTCTTGGGGCAGAGTGCTTTGGCTGGGGGGCTTTTCCTCCTCTCTCTCTTTCATTGGGCTGTTCCCAGAGCAGCTCAGCCTGTTCTGTGTCTTGGAGCTGCCTTCCTGCCATAGCTGAAGGGCTTTTCCACCTGTCTCAAATAAAATAGAAGTGGTTTCTGCCCCTTTAGAAGAATCTGTCACGCAGAGAAAGGATTTCAGCCTGCTCAGAGCAGGGGAGAAGACAGGGCTTGACAGTAATTGCTGGATAATGAATGGAAACCTGAGGTCTTGTGCAGTCCTAAACCAGCCAAATTGAAAACCTGAGCTTGGAGTTTGCAGCCTCTAATTGAGACAAGGAAACTAAAACCCACCCCCCAGTTCTTCCCAGCACTTCAGGGCTTGGATTTCTCCTGTCCTTGGCTCCTGCTCCTGCAGCATTTCCATGGTCCCAGCACTGCTGGGATCTGTCCTGCTGCTCACCTCCTCAGACCCCACACTTCCAATCATCGCTGGGAGGTGGGAGATACCTGTCCACGGCCAGCTGGATGGGGCTGTCAGCCCCTTCCCTGGGGGATGTTGGCTCTCCCAGCAGTGCAGCTGATGGCAGTGCTGCCCAGTTTTGGCTCTCCCTGCCATCTGCTGCCTGCCCTGGGCTGAGTGACACCGGGATTTGGGGTGTCCCTGTGGCTTTTGGGTTGTCCTGAGGAGAGGCCTCAAGGTGGCAGCATGGGACAGGCGAGGGCAGCTCCCTGGGAGCCGGGAGCTGTCCCGGATCATGGAATGCTCGGGGCTGGAGGGGACCCGCAGTGATCGTTGGTCCCTGAATCCACGACCTTGCCGTGATCAGCCACCCTGCTCCGACCAGCTGAGCTGGAACATCTTCCAGTCTGTGCCTTGCGAGGTGAACTCTCAGCCAGCTCAGCCAGTGTGCTGTCTGCCAGGGAATCTGGGACGAGAGCCCTGCACACAAAGCCCTCGTTTTGGTGGCTGTAACCTGAATCTCGCCGGGCTCTGTGTGTCCTGCCGGGAAGGGGGGTCTGTCCCTGTTTGCTGCAGTGGCTGCTGGTGCTGGCATCGCCACTGAGGTGACCCCAGCTCGTGTTTCCCCAGAGCTTCTGCGAGCCCCAGAGCTACCGCCCCATGCACCACAAGGACTTCAAGGAGGACCTGAAGAGGTTCCGCACCAAGAGCCGCACCTGGGCCGGCGAGAAGAGCAAGAGGGAGATGTACAGTCGCCTCAAGAAGCTCTGAGGGCTGCAGGGCCCTGCAAGGACTGCCCAGCCCGGGGGCTGCAGTGGGACAGCCACGTGTTCCTGTGCTCCCACCCCCCTGGGTGCCTCCTCCCTGGGATCACCTGGACCTCGGCCCGCGAGCCGCATTCCGGCTGGGAGCTGCCTTGGGATTCTTTTTGGTTACGTTGCTTCGTGAAAATGTTGTGGCTTCTCGTGTTGTGTGACACCCCCAGATGGCCCAGGGAGGGTGGGGACAGCCTCGTGGGGCTGGGCTCGGTGTCAGCACTGCCAGGGAATCGTAGTTCCTGTTAATTTTTTAAATGCTTAATTTTATTTAAATACAGTCAAACGAAGCCAACACCTCTGCGGTTGGATCATGTGGATTGTACTTAAACCTTGTTTCTGCTCCAGGGTGACCTGCTGGGGGGGATTGGGGGGGTCATTGTTTTTCTCTGCTGCAGTTTTGGTTCTGTGTAGCATTGTGGGAAGGAAAATGGGAACTAGCCCATGGTGGCTCAGGATTCCCACCTGGGCCGGCGCTGCGGGAAGCCTTGGGAGCCCATCTGAGGCAAACTGCTTATTGTTCATAAACATCACATTCACCTCGTTCACTTCAGGGTGTTTCATTTCATGGTCTGTCTCTGTTGGGTCTGGAGGAGTTGGTGTTTTGGTGGAGGGAGAGGTTTTGGGAGCTGAGGGGGTTCAGCAGCTGGGTTCTCAGTGCTGTTGCTGCTCACTCTGAGCCTGTGAGTTGTTGTTCTTATCCTGAAATGTTGCCAGAGCAGATCCTGGCTGTGAGGGATCCCAGGAGCTGCTCTGACACCTCTTCCCCGGGGGTGGCTGTGGCCACTTCTCCATCTGCCAGGAAAGGCAGGAGGTGGGATCTGTCCCTGGGGGAAGCAGAACTTCCTCAGCTGTGCTGGACCCCACAGATGAGGGAGTTCTGCAGTCCCAAACTGCTTTGCTGCTGGTTTTGGGGTCACTTCAGCCCCAACTCAAATCCATCTTCCTCATGCCAACTTCCAAGTGAAAACTGGTGCTCCTGGGAAGCTCCACGTGCCTGGGAACTCCCTGGTTTGCTCTGTTGTATCCATGTCAAAAAATACTGAAATGGGGGTGCCTTATGTGGAATTTTAACTTGCTTTTTTTTGAAACCTATTTCTTAAAACCTGCTGTTAATCCTTTTGCTCCCAAGAGGATTAAACTTGGAATTCCTTCTTGTTAAAAAAAAAAAAAAAAAAATTGGAATTTGCTGTTTTCCCTCAGAGCTGAATCCCTTGAATGGGGAGATGATGAAATGTTAATTCAGAAGTGATGGTTACAATTTTCTCCCATTGCCTTGGGAAGGGCTGAACTCTGGGAGGGGGAGGTGGGGTGCTGGGGAGTCAGGAAAAGCCATGGGGAGTGCCCCAACCTGCCCTTTGGTCCAGCCCAGGGGTGAAGCACCAGCTCAGCACCACAAGGGCTGGGCAGGATCTCTCAGTCCCACTCTCCATGGGAATGTTTGAACTCCTCCTCCTGCCCAGAAAAGCAGATGGACACTGGGTCAGGCCGCTCCTTCCCAAGGTCACAGCTGCAGCCCAAGCGTGGCAGCAGTCCTGGTTCACAGCTGCACCTCCCCTCACTCTGCTCCTTGTCCCACCCTCCTGGGGCTCGGGCTGTGGGGTGAGTGGGGTGGCTGTGTCCCAGCAGGGCAGGGCTTGGCATTGGCTGGAACCCAGAGGGGTGCACAGGAGACCCCCCCCGTCCCTCTCCCAGCCTTCCTCCTTCTGTACCCTGGGGAGGGAGAGGCATCTAAACAGGATCCAAACTCTCAAAACTGAGAGATTGCTGTGGCCACAGGGAAAAAAAAGTCCTAAAAACCCAAGTTACTGCTTGCACCTCTCCTCGCAGCAGGACAGGACGAGCTGCTTGCTCATCTGGCAGAACCCCAGGCTGCTGCTGGTGCTTTTTGCCTTTGCTTGTTGCTTCCAGGATGAGCTCCCAGAGCGGCTGTGGCTGCCTCTGGATCCCTGGCAGTGCCCAAGGCCAGGTGGGAGCACCCTGGGGCGGTGGGAGGTGTCCCTGCCCATGGCAGGTGGGCTTTGAGGTCCCTTGAGCCCAAAGCATTTGGGGTTCCACGATGAGGGCTGCAGCCCCCTGGGTGTCAGAGCTGTGTGCTCCCCTCACTCCATCCATGCTGTGGCCACTCACAGCTGGATTTTGGCTGAGGATCCTGCTCTGTGCTGGAGTTTTTCCCAGGGGGGCACCTGAGGGGGCTCTTGTGACGAGCAGGAGGCCAACAATGGGGTCAGATTGAAAAGCTTCCCTGGAAATCCAGCACGGTGCCCCCAAAGCCTCGGGAGGCTCCAGCAGAGAGCAGGGTGGGGTTTCTTTCCCCCTTCCCTCCATCTGTCACCCTGAAAAGTGATGTTGAAAGCAGCTTAAACCTTCATCACCCTCAGCCCCAGCTCCTGAAGGCCGCAGAGCTCGGTGTTTCCTCCCATACCCCGTTACCTTTGTGGCACAAAGGGCTCCCATGCTAGGGCTTTGGGGCTAAAAAAGGGCTTTGGGGCTAAAAAAGGGCAGCTGCCCTGCTGTGCCAGCAGCTCCTGGAGCCCTGGATTCCCTTGGGAATGGGCAGTGGGTGTTGGACATCCCTCCAGTGCTGCCTCAGGGGCGTTCAGTCTCCCTTAAGTAGAGGTAAAGGAGATTTTATCCATAACCAGGCAATTCTCTGTGTTTAAATCCTTTTGCATCTTTTCATACAAACCTGTCTTTGCCTTTTTGCCTCCTCTGTTTTCCTTGTGCAGCAGCTCTTCCCAGGCCTCTTGGAGCCCTTTCCCACATCCCTGCTCCTGCCCTGCACATACCCAGCCCCTGTGAATCCCAAACTTGGAATTTTCTGTAGTTTTTGTCCAGTGAAGCTGCCCCAGCTGAGGCTCTGCTGGGCCAGGAGGAATTGTCCCAGCTGGAGGCAGGAGCACGGAGTGAGAACCAGGGAAGGGCAAAGCAGGATCTCTGCAGAGCCCGAGTGCTGCTGCTTTGGGCTGAGGCAGAGGTTCAAACCAGGTAAAATTCACTAAAATTCCCCAACAAGCCAAGCTCCTGCAGGTTTGCAAGTGGTGCTGCCAGATGTGTCAGGCAGTGGCTGGGAGAGCCCCCTCTCCCCAAAGCTGAGGGGTTTGGCAGGGAGAAGACACAGCAGGACTTTCCTGGGATGAAATCCTCGGTGAGTGGATTGTTTCTGAGGGGGATTCACGTGGCCTTGCTGGGGAGAACCTGCTTTGTTAAAAAAATCCTTGGCTTCTTGTCCTGGCAGCAGCCTTTAGTGCCAAGCTGGCTCCTGGAGAGCTGCGGCGTGGGCAGCAGTGCCCCAAAATTCCTGGAAATGCTGGTGCCAGGCTGGGGCCGGGCTGCCAGCTGGGATTCTGTGGGACTGGGGCTGGGTGGTGGCTGCTCCCACAGGGACATTCCCGGGGTTCCATCACAGCCCAGTGCCCACAGCCCCTCCTGCACTGCACAGGGCGATCCTGCTGTGCCACGCCTGGTGCCTCACCTGGGCTCCCTCTGGGCACAGCTGCACCCTGTCACTGCACAGGGACAGGGCCAGGGGACAGTGCCAGCTCCCCACAGGGCCAGGGGACAGTGCCAGCTCCCCAGGGCTCCTGGGCAGCAGCAAGGTCTGCCAGGCAGGGTGCAAGGTCCCTGTTAGAGGTCACCAAAAGCAGGCAGAGCTGCAGGGGAAGCTGATCTCCTGCTGGCCAGCCAAGCTCTGGCAGGTGTGGTGCCAGCCCCGGGGCTGGCAGTGGCACTGTCCCCGTGCCTGTCCCTGCCTCTGCTGGGCCCTGGGTCCTGCTGTGCTCCCTGGGGGCTGCTCTGGGCTCTGCTGCTCACAGGGGGATCTGGGGGTGGCACAGAGCATGAAGCCATGATGGGTTCCCCCCAGTTCTCCTTCCTGAGGGGAGCAGGCTCTGCTCAGCCTCTGGATCTGTCACTGCCACCAACCCCAGGCAGCGGGCAGGGGTGGCACTGACAGGGTTTTCCTGACCCAAAACCCCTGCCTTGGAGGGGCACAGTGCAGGTGGGAGTGGGGCAGGCAGGTCCCTCCATGTCCTATGCAGCCTTGTCCCCTCAGTGTCACCTCCTGCACACGGGGCCACTCTCAGGGGTGTCTGAAGGCCCTGGGGCACCTCTGGAGAAGGGCTGGATGTCACTGAGATGGCCGCCAGAGGGGTCTGGCTGGGCTCTGTCTGCTCTGGGCTCTCTCCACACTCGCTGGGGCTCGAGCAAGGAGCTGTGAGAGGGAGAACAACATCAAAGCAGAAGGTGGAAGGAGGCCAAGAGGAACGTGGCCAAGTGCCCTTTCCTTCTTTCTCTTTCACTTCGTGAGGGAAATCCCCCAGCCTGTGGGACACCCCTGTGCCAGACATGGCCACCACGGAGACATGGCCAACACAGGGACATCCCTGTGCCAGACATGGCCACCACGGGGACATGGCCACCACGGGGACATCCCCGTGCCAGACATGGCCACCACGGGGACATGGCCAACACGGGGACATCCCTGTGCCAGACATGGCCAACACAGGGACATCCCTGTGCCAGACATGGCCAACACAGGGACATCCCTGTGCCAGACATGGCCACCATGGGGACATCCCTGTGCCAGACATGGCCATGGCTCTGTCACCACGGGGACATGGCCACAGCTGTGCCACCACAGGAATGACCCTGACAGCAGCTCAGGGCTAGGGAGGGGGCCCAGGAGAGGAGCTCCTGCTGGAGGCAGGGTGGAGCTCTGCTGGAGCTCCCACTCCCCTGTGGGATTGTCCTCTTGGGGTGGCTCCTGCCACTGCCTGTGGTGGCCCGGGAAGGTGGGACCCTGCTGGGGGCTGGTGTGGAGGGGCTCTGGGGCTGGGTCCTGGGAGTCTCTCCTGAAGGAATTGAGCAGGGTGGGGAAGGAGATGGTGGCTGCTCTGTGGGGGCAAACACCCCCCCAGGTAACCCCTGCCACCCCTGCCAGGTGCCACGGCAGGGCACAACCCCAGCTCTGTGGTGTCTCTGTCACCTCCTCATTGGAATTCCTGCCCCAGGCAGCTCAGGAAACCCCACAAGGGAATCCCAGAGCTGGCACCCGGGGTCACCTGGCAGCTGCCCCAGGGTGTGACCCGTGTGACATCAGGGCTCTGTGACACCCAGCATGGATCAGTGGAGGCTCCCCAAGGAGCCCGTGCCAGGAGGTGGCTGTGCCCTGGCCTGTCCTGAGGGTCTCGTGCCCTGGGAGAGGGCAGGGGAGCTGCCAGGCTCTGGGCTGTGCCCTGGGAGAGGGCAGGGAGCTGCCAGGCTCTGGGCTGTGCCCTGGGAGAGGGCAGGGAGCTGCCAGGCTCTGGGCTGTGCCCTGGGAGAGGGCAGGGAGCTGCCAGGCTCTGGGCTGTGCCCTGGGAACAGCCACAGTCCTGGCTGTGGTGACAGTGCCATAATTAGCAGGTGCCAGCGCTGCTGGCGTTTGTCCCCGGTTCAGCCCTGGTTCAGCCTGCTTCCTCCTCCCACCATCCTCCTCCTCCCGGGGCTGGGCAGTCCCAGAGGCACAGCTGGGCCCACGCAGGTCCCCAACTGCCACCACCCACCC